TCTCTCTCTCTCCCCTAGTGATGAGCACTGATATCCCACTAAAAATATAGCCAAACAAAAAATGGTAAATATTCTAGCCTTTAAATGCCATTGAGCACTTGCACATTTTTTTTGATAAGTCAACCAGTTTATTTATTTTTGACTTATTTACAAATAAAACACTTTGTGAGTTATTATTTTGGCGCATTTTAGCTACACGCGTTAATTAATCAATTACTACCCATCGTGATTAACAATATAAATTATATAGATTATTTTTGTGTGATTTTTTTCTATATGAACATAATGCTGACAGTAAGATTCATGCTGATATTATTTGTGATATTAGCCAGTACATTTTTAATAAATTACGCCCATGCTCAAACGTGCAATGCAAAAACGTTGCGCAAAGTGGATTTGAGTGTAGCCCGTATTATTACCATCGGTAATTCTGGCCGACAATTCCCCGAACAAAAAGGGACCGAGTTGAAAAAGTATTGCTCGTAAGTATCTATTTTTAATTTTGTTAGAAATGATTAGTTTTTTAAATTGTTTTAATTAAACTGTAAAATTATTTTTATTACTAAATGATATTGATTTAAATTTTGTTAGATATATAATATTGGCCAAAACACTAACACATCTTATTTTAATTTAAGACTGTAATATAAAATAATTTTATGTTATATTATATGCATTTTAACTAAACTAAATATAAATGGTTATATAAAGGGTAAGGGTATATTTTATATTTATTTTAAATATATCTACTTTAATTGAATCTTGATATTTTTTAAGTCAAAACGCCGCTTATTTAAAAGAGATTGAACGATATAAAGGCAAGTGTATGAAAGGATTGAGCAAGCAAATTGCATCGATATTAATATATTCGATAAAGGTAAAATTAAATCAAACTAGTTGGTTTTGTATTAATGTAAATTATCACGATAAAATTTTCATTTATTACAGAACTCAATTGCCCAGCTATGCAATAAAGATTCAAAAAAGTTGAACGAGCTGATAGCCAGTACAAAATGTATAAATACTGCCACACCTGAGATCAATAAATGCTATACTAATCTCATAGACAGTATACAGGGTATTGTTAATGCAGATCCCAATAAAAAGATACCACACGTGTGCTGGTAATTATAATAATACCGAGATTAGTTTTATTTATTTTGTTTGTTTTAGAATTTATAATTTTATTTTATAATAGTTTAATAATTTATATTTGTTTTTATTGTTATTTGTTGCATGATCAGTGAATATTACCGTATTTTCCCGTGCATAATCACCAAGACCAAACGCATACCGGTTTGCACCGAACAACACGTGGACACAGCTATGAATTTTGTGCGCTCGATGTTAGGCAACGCCATTGACTTATTATGCAGTGAATACAGTGAAGGTATGTTAATATTTATTAATTTATATGATCTCCTGGCTATGACCCCTAAACATACCAAGGGAAGGTTGTATATTATAATATAAATGTACTAGTTAACACTATTTAACGCCAGCAAATCTATATATAATCTGTCTGTGACATTCATAAAATTAAATTGACTTGTCACATTAAATGCCAATGTCACGGACTTTAATATTATTAATATTAATTTTGAGATTTATTTTTATGCATAATTATATTTATATTAATTATTTGTTTAATTATATTACAGGAAGCGATAAGTGCGATACGTTGGGTCGACCACCCCGTAAATTAAAACACCAACGTCGGACAAAATCATTTTTGATACCCCTACTGGATATGTTTGATTCCTTTCCTGAAGTGTAGCATGGTGTTTTATATTTTTAAAATAAAATGTATTTTCTTTAATTTTATATATAAACAAATATTATTTAAAAACAATAATAAATATAATTATTTCAATAATAATCCAAATAATTAAATAAACAGTATTATTATTACCAATTATCTATTCTAAAATCTATTATGGTAAAAACTGTAAATAATGTAAAAACACACCAAATATTACAATTAATAATATTTAAGTCTATATTTTTGGGATTCTGTCTGTAATGTTTGTGGTATTTAAATATTAATCAAATTTAAGCGACTTTTTTATTGACTACTTGACTTAAGTAAATAATTACAATAATAGCATAACAAGTTTAGTTAAAAACAATATTTCTTACATAATATTATTAATATTTAAAATATTGTTGTTTAAGTTTTTATGGGGAACACACAATTACAAAAATTTTATTTATTATACGTAAATAAAAAATAAAATTTCCAAAAAATTGCCAAAATTAATAATAAAAATTTTGCTCTTTGTCAATGTATCAATATTTATAAGCAACATTACCTTGAAGATAAATCATATTCGCATGTTAATTAATATAGATTAAATGCGTTGACATTAATTATCTAGTTATAAATTCAAATCATGTGCACATTTGTGACACTGACAACAGTTAATACATGGTTTGTGGGCCCACTCTGTCAGTGCCCTAACCTGTACTTGAAATATACAATTCAAATTCAGCCCAAATAACACGTGAATAAACTGTAATGAATGTGAAATATATAAATACGATTACAATCTTAAACGTCATATTAATAAATATGTTTATTTTCGCTTTCTTTATCCCAAAATAATTCCTATGATACAGTCAATGCTCGTTACAAAAAACATTAAAACTATTGTTTTATAATTAATAAAATATAAATCAAAATGAAATATTATTAAATAATTATTATAGTTTAAAATTGTAACTTTTTTGACTTTTTTATTTATTGAAAATATATTAATAATGTAAATATAAACTGTGTAACTTGTATACAACTAGCGCTTTAAACAACAATCTTAATACATATACTGTACATTTAATGACGTAACTGAATATAATTATATACAATGTATATCTTACCGGTGTGTATAAAATATATACATCTAAATCAAAAATTATCATTTTACTATTTTATTATAAACTCAACAAAAGTAAAAGTGAAAAATTAAAGCGTTTATCATAAAGTAAATTGATAAAAAATATTGCATTTTAAATATTAATTACTTAACAAAGGTGGTGTTTATAATAATAATAATAATGAGACAAAATTGTGTCAAGCAACTATTGCTGACCACGATGTTAGCAGTATTAATACGGCACTCATCACAAGCCGATTGCGATGTGAATGAGTCGCGCAAAATGGACGGCGCGATGGCCCGACTGCTAACTATTGGTAACTCCGGCCGACACTTTCCCGAATCTAAAGGCCACGATCTGAAACAGTACTGCAAGTGAGTGTTTGCCATTGATTTTGTCACCATGTTAATTCTACTTTATATCTATAAATTATAGTATTTTTAATTTAAAGTATAATTATTTGAATATGTAACACATAACTAAATGTAATATTAGAATTATGTTGATAAGTGCCTTGAGTTTTTTCAAGCTGTAATTAATCTTATTATTAATTAAGATATATTTATGTAGAATCAGTGTTATTTTATATTGGTTTATTAAAACATTTGTCTTTTTTTATTTAACAAAAATAATTAATATATTTTTAGAAATATAAATATTATATATAAAATTCAATTGTGAGTTTTAGTATATTGTAGTTTAACTTGTTTATTTATATTTAGTTATTTGAAATTAAAACTGTAAATTTGAAGTTATTATTCAATATATACATAATTAGATCAATATTTACTATAAACTGGTTATAAAAAGTATAATTATTTTACAAAAATGCTAAATAATATATTTTTATTGTAGAATAATTAATCATTATAAATTAAAACAATTTTTTTCTGCAGCGAAACAAAGACCCTGATCGCACAAATTGAAAGTTACAAAAATAAATGCCTTAAAGATCTGGGAAAACAAGTGACGGGTGTTATCGTGTATTCGGTGAAAAACTCGGTCAGTCAACTGTGCAAACGGGACTCAAAAAGGTTGAACGAGCTAATTAGCGCAGCACCCTGTATGAATCGGGGTTCGAACGAGATCAATAAATGTTACACACGTTATATTGACGGAGTTATGGGCGCCAAACACGCTGTGGATAAGAAAAAGATACCGCATAATTGTTGGTAAGTTACTTAGAAAATATTCACCATGCTGCTATTATTACTTGATTTTTAATAATAATAAAAATATTTATAACAGAGATTAAAAATATGTTATAATTGTTGCGTAAACCCATTAGTGAACATTTATGTCTATTCCTAACAATTGTGTTTATAAATTAATTTGTTTGTATAACTTTTTTCCAATGATAAATTATATTGTATTATTAATTATAATAGTTTATTAATTTTATAAACCTTTGACACACTACTACAAAAATAATTAATCAATAATTTGTGACCATAGTGAATATTTTCGTATATTCGCCTGCTCTGAGACACGTATGCGTAAAGTGAAGGGTTGTAATGAACAACAGGTGGACGTAACACTTGATTGGATTCGCTCACTGTTTGGCAATGTTATCGATTTAATATGCAGTGACTATACAGAGGGGTCCGATAAATGTGCACAATTAGGTATACATTAAATTAATATAGTATATACTGTATATTAATTAAGTTATTGTACTAGTCACTTTTTAAATTATTTAAATGAAGAATGACTATTAATTTAAATATTGCAATTTCAAACTTACCATGTGTTTTTTGTTTACAGAGCCAGTACCAAGGAAACGCAAAAATCAACGTCGGCCAAAATCATTTATGCTGCCCTTGGTGGATTTGTTGGACAGCTTTAAAGAGATATAAATTAATTATTATTTCTGCTACTGTTGTTGACTGGAGTAAACAAGTCAAATTAATATACCTACGTGGTTTAAGCATTATGTTTATTAACTATAATGAAAAGTTTTACTTAATTGTATTTAACTGTATTTCTTTTTTAAAAATAATGATAAACGTTTCGTATGTAAAATAATTTTATTTGAATAAATTTACAATGTAATGTTTATGATATAATCAGTAATGTACAAATAATTGAATAAGCAATATAGACTGTACAATATGTATAATATTTTTAAAACTTATATAGAAATAAACATTTAATGAATTAACTGGGTAAAATGACAAACAGATATTTCAAATTTTTAGCAAAAAACTTTTCTCAAAATATAATTTTTAATTATTATAATATATTTATTTAATAATAATCTCCAATAACTTTTATAATTTAAAAATAATTCTATATAATCATCTCTCTCTCTCTCTCTCTCTCTCTCTCTCTCTCTCAAAACTTGATTTAATAGCCAAAAAGTATTAATAATTAATTATTATATGCAATATACAACATTTTCAACAAACAATAATTTCAATTATTGGCATTGAAATTAATCATTTGTACTATATTTTGGGACTTAACAAAACATTATTATAATCTTATCAATTTCTCGTCATATGGTACTCTAATTAATCCACATTCATAATAATATAAGCGTTGCAATGTATTTAGAAATTAATTTATCATGTTAACTGTATGAGCAATATTTAAAAACCACATTTGGTAAACTGTACTCAAAGATAAAATTAAAAATTTTATACAGTAAAAGATATTAGATTTGTAAAATTTTGATGTCTACATTATTTAATGGTATTTATAATTTAAAATCATTATGTTACTTTGTTTTGCAACTTTGTTATAAATTTCCATAATAAATTAAATAGATTATATTAACATTATATTATAAGCATAATAAATCCTGCAAATATTTAAAATAGGTACTTTATGCATAGGTTATATTGTACATTGCAACTCAAATGTTGATAGATTTATCAATCATGATTAAGGTAAACTTATTGAAAATCATATAAATAGTAATGAAATACACCATATAATTTAAAAATACATAATAACTATTGTTAGATATACAACAAAATAAATTAAATGTTCACTATGAATATAATATTAATTAGTATAACTTTACTGCTGAATGTATATCAAGTCTATTGTAACGACGATGAGATTGTGTCACTACCGGGGCTTTCAAAGCCGATTCAATTCAAACAATATTCCGGTTATTTGAATGCCTCGAAGGGAAGGCATTATTTTTATTGGTTTGTTGAGTGCACTGCAGACCCGGCAAACGCACCGGTAGTCCTATGGCTGAACGGAGGGCCCGGTTGTAGTTCACTACTAGCCCTGGCCACTGAAAATGGCCCATATCATTTCAAACCCGATGGTAAAACTGTTGATCTAACTGAACATAGTTGGAATTCAGTGGCAAATGTACTATACCTGGAGTCACCGGCGGGAACCGGGTTTAGTTACGACGATAATAATAACTATACAAATACCGATGAGTCGACTGCGTTGGATAACTACTTATCGTTGGAAAGTTTTTTTGAAAAGTTCCCAAAACTCCGCAAAAATGAGTTTTATATTACAGGCGAGAGTTATGCCGGCGTTTATATACCGATGTTAGCCAATCAGATATATCGACACAACTCGTCCATCAATTTGAAAGGTATTTATAAACAATATAAAAATATCTAAAATTTTATATAATTTATGATTAATAATTTTTTTAGTTAATTATTAAAATAATTAATATTGATTATTTACAAAAAGGTGCGGCGATAGGAAACGGGCTATTATTAAATAAAAAATTTGAAGCCTTCGGTCAGCCCGAGTATGACTACGCTTTAGGGCACGGATTGATTACTACTGAAGCCTATGAGAAAAAGATTGAGAGTTGCTGTGAGTGTACGGCCGGTGCCGTTCAGCACGAGTGCAATTTTAACAATCCGCCTAATAAAACGTAATTATAAATTATTTTCTACTAGTTTAAAATGTTTTTCGTAAATTACCTACGCCAATGCAACTATAGTATATCCAATTCTGCACTCATATTACAAATTTGAATGTATCAAAAATACATGTTAAAATGGTCCTTTAATTAATAACTCAATGTGATAAAAGAATCCATTTATTTATAAAATTCTTATCATAGGTAAATGATTTGAGTTTTAATATTATATTTACAGTCTATATGAATAAAATAAATATGATTACTATACTAATAAATAGTCAGGGTAGCAACCCAATTTAACTATAAAATAATCATTATAGGTAATCTATTTGAGGTTTACTGATTTATTTACAGTTTAATAGTAAATAAAAGTTTTAGTCCATAAAATAATCATAACAAACATAGTTAATGAATCAATCTAGTATGAATATTTTTGCAATTAACAAGCTATTCAAATACAAAATCATAGTAAATGCGATTTGGTACAAGTGGACACCGTCCAAATCGCCAACCTGTACAACATATACAGCGAGTGTCCGCCTGACGTACTAATGCATCAGGTATTTGACACATACTATAAGCCGGCATTCAAGCGAATTGGCCTTAACTACAACATTAAGCCAAACAACGGGGTAAACACACCACCAAAATGTGTCCGAACCGGTGTCACCGCGTATATGAACACCGATGCGGTCAGAACGGCACTACACGTACGGCCGGGTAGTAAACGGTGGTCCACTATCGACGGACCCTACGACCCAATACACTACATGACCCCACAGGCAGACACTGTTCAACAATTGATAAATACGTATAAAATACCGAAACTTATTGTATATAACGGCGACTTTGATTCGGTGTGTAATTTCATTGGCGATCAGAGGTTTGTCGATAGTCTGGGCTTTAAAACCGCAGGTCATTACAGGTATGCCTTGGCTTTAGTTATAACAGTATATGCTATTTATATATTGTTATGTATTATCAATAAATTATTATAATCGTACTTTTATTGTTTGTTNGGTGGTCCACTATCGACGGACCCTACGACCCAATACACTACATGACCCCACAGGCAGACACTGTTCAACAATTGATAAATACGTATAAAATACCGAAACTTATTGTATATAACGGCGACTTTGATTCGGTGTGTAATTTCATTGGCGATCAGAGGTTTGTCGATAGTCTGGGCTTTAAAACCGCAGGTCATTACAGGTATGCCTTGGCTTTAGTTATAACAGTATATGCTATTTATATATTGTTATGTATTATCAATAAATTATTATAATCGTACTTTTATTGTTTGTTTGCGACAGGGAGTGGACAGTCGACGGCACAAGCGATGGAGTGATCGGCGGTTTTGTACAGAATTATGAAAAGGGGTTGAGTTTTGTTGTGGTTCGCGGCGCCGGACATATGGTGCCCACCGATAAGCCCGAGGCAGCCATTCAGATACTTAAAGGGTTGCTGGGATTAGCAAAACTATAGTTATCAACTTTTTCAACATGTTAAATGTTTAAATTTTAGTTATAATAATAAATATAAACTCTCATAAGTTAGCATCAGTATATATCACCTAGGTGTCCATTCTAGTCTCCCTTAATGTTTGTATTTACAGATTTAAGAAAAATTATATTTTAATTTGTTATTAAATAAATGTTAAAAATTTTGATAAACTATCTAAGTATTTTTAAAAAAAATTTGATTTATATACCAACTTGATGTTGCGGCTAAAATTATTTGTTGACATATCTCTGAAATAAGTACTAAATTTATTGTAAATGTTTAGCTTAACATTTAATTAAAAACTTTATTACGTTTGTATTTAAACTTACTAAACGTTTTATTATAAACAATATCGGCCTTATATGGGTTCCAATTAACAAAATATTATTTTCATACTATATAATTTATAATATAATTATGGTTGTGTTACAGTTCACATAATATGACAAATGATTTGAAAATGTTGTAAAATATAAAGGTTTTTAATTAAACGTGCTATTATAAATTTAACATTACACATTTTTAATTAATTTAACAAATATTTATTCCCAGGGTATATCAATTATTTTATGAAAAAATGCAATTATCAATGGCATCACCTATTAAATAACGAAATAAATATATTAAACTATAATTTTAAATAATTTTTGTATATTCACTCTCTCTCTCTCTCTCTCTCTCTCTAAATTTATGATTAACAATTTCTAATAATATAATTTAATGCAATTATTGTACACCTGTTGAATATAATTAAATACACATAAAAATAAAATGTCAAATTGATCTCGAGATCCTCTTTCCCATTATTATTTATAATCATAAATTTAATTAAACCATCTTAGAATAATCTACATTTAATTTACAGTTTACCTGTTTTATTATTAAACAATTACGCACTCATTGCGAATTTATTATTACGTTTGATTTAAACAAATGGGATATAAGCTATATTATCAAAATAATAAGAGAGAGAGAGAGAGAATTAAATAATAACTGTAAAATAATTATAATTATATTTAAGTTATAACAATTAATTAAATCAAAAATAATATTATTGGAATGTGCGAAAATTCCATGTTTTCATCAAGTGAAATTAATTAATTTAATGGATTTTATGAGAAAATTTATGCGAATGTTATTGTAACAAATTATACATTGATTTTTATTTATATAACAACATGTATATGACTATAAATTAAATAATATATTGTATTTATTATAATTATTATTAAGGTGTATAACAATTCATGTAATAAATGTTTCATATATAAAATATTTTTAGAATAAATATAAAACCGGATTTTATTTAATTACAAATACATCAATTAAAACAGCCAACATAAAATAAATATAATATTTATTTATATAGCAAATAGTTTTAAAACAATTCAACATGACTAAACAATTCTTAATGTTTTTATTACTGCATGATGATAAAATGCACAATATTGATCACAGAATAAATAATTGCAAAAATATTTAAGCAATTTTAATACTCATATATAATAATTAGTTTTTATATATTAAAAACTCAAATTACTAATTATTTAGCAATTATGTGTATTGTAAAATCACAGAAAGTTTAAATTCATAGATGGTTTTAATTAAATTGTTTTAAACCATTTAACCAATGTTACATTTTTACATTTAAACATCCATTTTAAATAAATTGTATTAGTTATTTATATGATTTTAAATTATCCATCATTAACTATGATAAACATCAATGATTATGAGATCCAATATACAAATGGCACCGGAAGTGGTGTTTGCGGACATATATTGTATTTTTGTATTATAATGTATTTTAGACAATACAAAATGTGTTCGTAAACACCACTTCGGGTGCCATTTGGGTATTGGATCTCATAATCACTGATGTTTAACATAGTTAATGATGGCTAATTCACCATTGTATAAATATCTAATACACTTTTTATTTTATTTACATCGTGGTACAAATTGAATAAAAATCACAACTCTATTCATGGACGTATTATGCCTTAACCGGTAAATGGTTTTAATGTTAACTGTTCATGGTGGTCGTTATATATCATCAATCATATTACGTTTTAAACTTTTTATGTATAATCTCATATAAAAAGGTATATAAAATTAAGATTAACCATTGACGAATATTGACGAATACTTAATGGTAAGCACCCTTGTTAAAATAAGGTATTAATTGAAACATTTTGTTTGTTATACTTCACAGGGTCAATGTCAATAAATTGAAGAATTAATGTCAATCAAAACATTTGTCCATTGTGGATGTTAAAGGGATATAGATGAATTACTATTTGCTTGTTGTTTGTATTGTAAAAACAAATAAATTCCTCTTAATAGATTATCTGTAATACAGTATATATTATCAATAAGCTAGGATTACATCTAGGATTATAAATAGTATTTTAGTCATATATAATGTGACTGATATGAGTAGTGGGGTTTAATAAAATTTGTGATTCATAATTATATTAAACAAAAATGAATTAGGTTTTAAAAGCATTCACTTATATTTTAAGGGTAGATAATGATTATGGATAGGACTTTAGTGCAACTTTAGTGCAGTTTTGTCTGTAATATGCAATTTTTAAAAATATAATAATGATTATCGTAACTATTTTATAAATGTGAAACATTAATTGAATAGAGGATTTTTTTGTTACCCTTTGACTGATTCACTACTTTTATGAGTCTGAATATTAAATGACTCATCAAGTCCTATCTCTAATAATGATTAGTTTAATAGTAACTTTTATACTGTATCATCATTCACTATAAATAAAATTCTGCCTATTCCTAGTATATATTAATTGCAATAAACATTATAATTTAATTTTACAATTTTATATTATTTCAACGAAGATTTTTAAAGTTTAAATATAGAATTGCTCATCATTGAATTAATACAAATTTTAATTGTTATCGTTTGACTTATAATTAGTTTCAGATGTAAAATAAAAATAAAAATCTATTAATTAAAATTAAATGTAAAACCAATTAATAAATATATTATAAATCATTTACTCTTGGTATGATAGCCAAATAATAATATTTTATATTCATCAATTGTTATATCTTAAAAATAAGTATGATTATTTTACAGTTATTTTTAAATATCTCTCTCTCTTTCTCTCTCTCTCTCTCATTATATGAAAAATTAAATTAAATTCATATCTATTTCCGGCGATCAAAACAAACTGATAAAATTTATATGAGTTTATGGAAAACAAATCGTAACAATAGAAACCAATTGTGGGTCCGATTGACAAACGCTCCGCAAATCTCTGCACTTTTAGCCGATCCCTAACCGACAAATCAATCAACAGTTTAGACATCAAATACCAAAAGTTGTATAAAACAGACTTTGATTTACTTTATAATTTTATGAGTAAAAAAACCATGATCACTAAAAATTTAATATAAAAACTACAAAAATCACATACTTTAGCAATGTTAGTAATTTTATGTGTAGTGACTACACCAAGAAATATGATAAATGCTTTTAATTAGTCAATAGTGTGATTAGTTTATTATTATTAGATTAAATTATTAACAAAATTTAGTACTTATATGACCCTAAAATCAATGGTATTTAAATCGCCTTCAATTTTCAAAACACCAATTCCAGATCAGCTAATTCCTAACTCTCAATTAAATTGTAACATTTTTATAAATAATTAATTGTGTAATTATAATTTAATGGCGTAAAGTTAATTAATGTACAAATCATTTTATATACAATATAAACTGTAAATTAAGCATGATTACTTTAAGAATTATATAGAGATAATAAGTCATATAATTTTTTGGGCTAAGTGTATAATCACATTGTATTTTATAGAAAATTATATAATGTTATATGTTAAATTACCTGAGTTTACAACTTTTTAAAAGCTAATTTACAAATTTATAATTAAACATAATTTATAAATTTCACTATAAATCAAACACTAATTTAATGCTTATTTATTCCCGGGATATGTCAATAATTTTAAGGAAAAATACAATCGTCAAAACGTAAACCTAGTAAATACCAGAACACATATTAAAATATAGTTTCACATCATTTCTCTCTCTCTCTCTCTCTCTCTCTCTCTCTCTCTCTCTTTCTCTCTCTCTGTATTAAAAATTAATACCTCATATGCTTTTGCATTATTAATAATAAACAATTTCCAACAATAAAACCCAACGCGATTATCGCAAACTTTCTCAATAAAATTAAATATCTATGAAAATAAAATAAAAATTTGTAATACTAAATCTTAAGTTATTTCGTTTTGTTATTATTTATTCTAATATAATTATTTAAATTAATTTTAAAAAACTTACCTTTAATTTATAATTGAACGATTTAATTATTAAACATTTGCGCACTAATAGTGTATTTAATAAAACATATGATTTAAACAAACGGGAAGTAAGTGATGAGGTTGTCATCAAAATAAATATCAAAAATGCGGCAAACACTACGAATAAATAGGCAAATATTGATCTAGGTAAAATTTAATATTGTTGATTAATTACATAACTAATCTGTATGTTTATAAACATTACTGTCATGTTAGACATACCTTATTAAAATACTTGTTGTGCTGAACATAGCTATAAACAGGAAAAAGTTAGACATTGATATGACTACAATAATTATGATAAATAAAAATAATGACCAATAATTGTCATTATATTCCTGTATATCTCTATGCAATGAATCAATTGATTTTAATAGACTGATTAGCCGTACGTTTCGGTACTTATGTTTAAAATTAATATCAAATAAAATTTTATCATTTAATTCGCGGACTTTTATACCTAAATAATCGTAAGTAATATAAAAATATGTGAACTGATAAACAATAAAATTACCACAATTGTAGGCAAAATACATCAATGTAAACAACCACATCATGGTCATTGCAAACAGCAAAATTGTGTCCGATTTTAGGACCATAGGTAAACTCAACAGGGTTGTTATGGGA